CCCCTCCAGCCCCTCAGCCTGCAGCAGCAGACACACCCCTGCCTACACCCATGTGTGCACAGCCCAGAGAGGGCACCACCCAGAGTCTCAGGTAAAAAAGTCAATATATTCTACAGATAGGTGACGTCAAGCATATTAAACCACTGATTTGTGACTTCTGAGGACCTGCCTGGTTCTGAGTTTTCTTCTCCTTTTTGAGTGTGGGGTTACTATTTCATGTCAGGGCAATTCATCTAACAATAACTGCTTTGCCAAACCTGCTTTTCTGCACTGAACAAGCGCTGCGTTTATTTTATTCTGTACTGTGTGCTGTGTTCATCACTTTTATCTTTGTATTCTTTGCATCCTGGAGCATGTTTCTGGTGGTTTGTTTTCTCTGATATTTTGACCCATTGACATACTGGGGGTTTCCTCATCTACAGGGAACTATTTTTAAAAGTTTTTCCATCCCCTTTTCTTTCCAACTTAAGGCACTAAGCATCACTGTAAAACCCCTTTGCTTCCAGGGTTCTAACCTATTTGTGGTTTCTGTTCCTTGATAAGTTTTAAGTTTGCATTAAAATATTCAAGTTGACAGAAGCTATAGCCTTTTATCTTGTACTTCCAGGCAAATGTTACAGTTCCTTATTTTTCAACAGCTTCGCAAAGGCTGAAAAATTTGCCTCGTACTTCCCTCAAAGCCAAACAGTTGCTCCAAACTTCATCTACAAAAAGAGGTAACTACAGCCTCTTACTAAGTTTAAGATTTCAGCAAATGATCAAGTTAAATCTTATGCCTTTTGGCATATGAATCAGTGGTGTCTGTAAGGCAGGTTTTTGTTTTCCTTTTAAATGATAAAATAATATGGATTTATTCTTTGTTATTTGGATAAGTTCAGAAGAAACATTTTCCACAGAGGTATGTATTGGGTTTCTATTCTGAAAGTGTTAAATGATAGGGAATTTATCATTTTACCAATTAAAACCAAAGGTCATTGCTTTAACTTAATGCCAGCTGAACTAACAAATACTTTGAAATGAACCAAATGTCTGACATCCTGTATATTAATGGTTTTTCCTTGGACTTGATTTCTGGCTTTATTTATCTGTAGGAGATAATGGAAATGCTTTCACAAAGGTGATTGAAATTAAATCTCAGTTTGTGGTTAACTGATTATGTTTGGATATTAATGGAGTGATAGCTTTTGTAAGAACTGAGTGTGGAAGAAATAGATGATGGTGGGATACCAAGTTTCCAATATTGATTCCAAGACATGGGGTGTATGGGCAGCTAGAAGAAAGTAGAATTGAGAGAAAATGGGGGTTGGCAGACCACCAGGAATAAGAATAGAACATTCAGAGGAAATGGGATGGAAGAAACATAGACAGTGAAGAAAACTATTTCTCTTACCCAGGTTTCTTTATCCAAGTAACAGAAAGATCACCTATATATCTGTCTAACTAGGGTACAAGTGAACTTTTCTAGAACTAGAATATAAATGTTTTGATACAATGACTAAGCAAATGACATGAAATCTATGTTAACCAGCTTGATGAAAGTATTTCAAATTGTATATGAAAACACTACACTGTACCCCATGTTTGCATTAATGTATACAGTTATCATTTAATAAAAAAAAGTACACAGTTACTATTCAATAAAAAATAAATAAATAAAAATAAAAATAAAAGATATATAAGGGAGAGAACACACTGAAGAAAATAATGGGGGAAGAGGAAGTTCAAGGTCTGATTTGGTTAATGTGGTTACAAAGGTACTATACTAGGTATCTTGGCAAGTTTATTACTGTAAATGTCTTAGCAGTGATTTAGTGGACTGAGTATAATTTAAGGAAATAATATTAGATTAGAGAATCTGGAACAAAGTCAAATACAAAAATAGGATGTATGAATGGTTTGTGTAATTTATAATTTTTACTTAAAGCTTATATTGCTCTATTTGCTTAAGACCATAATATAGGCTCGGCGCCTATAGCTCAGCCGGCTAGGGCGCCAGCCATGTACACCTAAGGTGGCAGGTTCGAATCCCCAGCCCGGATCCGCCAAACAACAATGATGGCTGCAACCAAAAAAAAAAAATAGCCGGGAGCGGGCGCCTGTGGTCCCAGCTACTTGGGAGGCGGAGGCAGGAGACTCGCTTGAGCCCAGGAGTTGGAGGTTGCTGTGAGCTGTAATGCCACGGCACTCTACCCAGGGGGACAGCTTGAGGCTCTGTCTCAAAAAAAAAAAAAAAAAAAAGACCATAATATAAAAAATTTGCCTATGGACGTTACCTTATTTATTTTATTTTATTTTATTTTTATTTTTTGAGACAGTCTCAGTATGTCACCCTGGGTAGAGTGCCAAAGGGTCACAGCTCACAGCAACCTCCAACTCTGGGGCTTAAGCGATTTTCTTACCTCACACTCCCAAGTAGCTGGGACTACAGGCACCTGCCACAAAGCTTGGCAATTTTTTTGTTGCCATTGTTTAGTTGGCCCAGGTCGAGTTTGAACCCACCACCCTCGGTGTATGTGGCTGGTGCCGTAACCACTGTGCTATGGGTGCCGAGCTGGGGTCAAATTATTTCTAAGCCGCCAAACTGCATATTCTCCATGAAAAATGACAGCAAAACCTAATCTCAGAACTGTTTAGAAATGGAATTTTTGGCATTTCTAGCTGTCATGTTGCTGACTTAGTAAAGGGAAAGGTGTGTGTGTGTGTTGTTTTGTTATGTTGGTTTATCTCTTATTCATCTTAATCCAGACTTTCATAGTTTCTGGTTGGTATTGTGGCTTGGGAATAACTATTACATTATCTCTTTCCTATAAATTCTAAATCACTTGAGAAATGGACACAGGTATAAGGTAAGATTTAAAATATTAGTGTCCTTGCTGGTGAAGCTAAATTGGAGAACACCTCTTAGATCCAAGGCTAAAATGGATTTTGTTGTTGTTGTTGTTGGGGATTCATTGAGGGCACAAAAAAACAGGTTATACTGATTGCATTTATTAGGTAAAGTCCCTCTTACAACCGTGTCTTGCACCCAAAAGGTGTGGCACACACTGAGACCCACCCCCCTCCCTCCTTCCCTCTCTCTGCTCTTCCTGTCTCCCACCCCTCCCTCCTCCTTCCTCATATAGACATTTTAACAATGTTGATTCTTCCCAGACATTAGCATGGTATGTTCTTCCATTTGTTAATATCCTCTGCTATTTCCTTTCTTAGGGTTTCACAATTTTCTTTTCTTTTCTTTCCTTTTTTTTTGAGACAGAGCCTCAAGCTTTCCTCCTGGGTAGAGTGCTGTGGCATCACAGCTCACAGCAACCTCCTACTCCTGGGCTCAAGC